GTCCATCCGCCAAAACACACGACTTAAAGTGAGCTGAAACGGAGTGTTAATGGTGCATATTTAATAAACTGACATCTTGCGAAATTAAGCAAATTGATATTTGATCTGTTCTGCCACCGACCCCTTATACTTAGGGAGTAGCACCGCCGATCCTTGTAGGAGCGCACCGCCGACTCCTACTCGGCTGCTTTGTCCTGACACTGCAGTCCTTTATACTGCAGTCCACTGCTGACACTGCAGTCCGTTATACTGCAGTCCACTGCTGACACTGCAGTCCTTTATACTGCAGTCCCACTGCTGACTCTGCAGTCCTTTATACTGCAGTCCACTGCTGACACTGCAGTCCTTTATCCCCGTCAAGATTGCAAGTTTAAAGTTCTGTCAACTTTGAGTGTCGGGTCATTCTTTACACAAAGTAGATTCTTTTCTCAGTAATTATTTACTCAGTAGATTCTTTACTCAGTAGATTCTTTACTATAATCTTTACTCAGAGATTCTTTACTCAGTAGATTCTTTACTCAGTAGATTCTTTACTCAGTAGATTCTTTACTCAGTAGATTCTTTACTCAGTAGATTCATTTTTTCTTTCTTTTTTCGGCTGCCAAACCCTCCGTATTTTTCGAACCCAAAACATACATTTTGCCGGCGTTATTATGGGACCGAAATTTAAAGAAATGACCATTATTTTTCAGAACATGTGTTTGTTGTATCCAATAATGCCGGTCTTGTTTAATAAAAATACTGGCGAACCCCCCCCCCCACCCCCCCCCCCCCCCCCCCCCCCCTTAAGAATACACAATATCAGTTTTCCTATGCGCCAACATGTAATTACCGCCCAGTTAGTCCTCGTTAGTCATAATATTGCTGTTATGGTATGAAATATGTATCACTAGTCTATGAAAATGAAGCTTTAAATTGCAAAAGAAGAAGCAGAGAGAGGCCATTAGTGTGCATAATTAATCCAACAGTTTTTTGATGTTATATATAGTAGAGGCGACTTATTGGTGTAACAGCCGGGTTTCGCTTTAAATTATAAAATGTCAGAGCAGTACGATTTGTTATATTCACTTTCGGAGCTCTCTTTCTGTTGCCTCGCATAATTTTCCGCAGAACGTCAAAATGTCAACCTCCTTAGAGTTTGGGATACAGAGCCCCCGTTCACAGTTACCTAGTAACCGTCAGCCGTCATAGTGTCATAGTTACCAGGGTGACGGTTACAGTACCGTTACAGTTACCATAGTCACCGTCACCAGGCAGTTACCTTTACTGCTTGCGACACAGATCTACTTTTGCGGTATAGTTTGTACTTGTTCAAAAAGTTTCGGCACTTTCATTGAAATAGTGGAACCCACCAAAAGTCTCAAATCCACCATAGAACTCACTAGAACCCAAGCAACGAGTTCCCCGAGTTACCATGGTGACAAGTTCTCCAAACCCAAGGTGTCTGGCTCGTACAAACAGGAAATCAAAACAATTGTTTATACTTTTAAAAACCTTAGATACCTTTAGATACCTTACATATTCAATAGGAACTGCTGTGGAGGACCAAAATAGGCCCGGAATAAGCTAAAAACACATTTCCTTTATTCATTGTTTGAGTGTACGCGGTAGATAAAATAAGTTGTAAAGAAGATGTTTTTATTAAACCGGAGTTTATTGCAACGATTATCGTGAAATAATGGACACTATAATGAACATATAGTGGATATACAGTGAACAAAATATCCACTATAATGAACATTATACTTTATAGTGGATATTACAGTGAACAGTAATATCCACTATAATGAACATTATAGTGGATATTACAGTGAACAGTAAGATATTAATAGAAATATTACAACAGAACGACTTTACAGCTAGCTCTAATCCAGTACTGGTTGAGTTATAGCTGGCGGCATTGTATCTAAGAGTTATAGCTGGCGGCATTGTATCTAAGAGTTATAGCTGGCGGCATTGTATGTAAGAAGTAACTTATTTACTTTGTGTTGTTTAATTGGCAGGCAGTTGACTGTTATTGTGGCATTGTGACTGGTCATTGTGGCATTGTACGGGTTAAATGTGGCAAGTGTGTAGTTTAATTCGCTCTCCCCTCGCGTCTCTCGGATATAAGTCTTACTCGGAGTTATTAGTGTATTATTAAGTAATATGATTAGTGTTCTTATTAAGTGTTATTATTACTGTGATTATAAGTATTACCATTATTATAATTGTGCAAATAGTAACTCCGTTAACTCTGATAAATTCATAACTTTTCTTGTCTGTGGTGCGACTAGCGATTCCTTTTCAAGTACTATTAACTTATTTGTTCTGAATTGTTGTGGTGTGTGTTTGTTGGGGGGGGGCTAACGGCCCACTTAATCTCTCTCATTTCTAGCCATGGTTACAATAGTGCTTCTCATTTCAATCCTTCTTCTTTTATTTTCACTGCTTCTTATTTCGTCTCTATTAAAATCATGTCACCTCCCTGTCTTGCACTTCCTACATCTCACTTCCCGTTAATTAAAAGTCTGGCTACTTTGGTTCCTGTTCATACTTCCCCTACAATTACTTCCTGACATTACATCACCACATTTACAGACTGTAGTATTATTAATAGGTCTTGTAAAGGTAGCATTAGATTAACCTGATCACTTCTCTCTGTGTTTTATTAGTAACGTGTTTATTGGATTACAAGTAATGTGCTCACATTTAGTAGCGTATTGTGACTAGTACTACTACTAGTTCTACTAGTACTTTATTAAGGGTTACTAGTACTACTTTATTAGTAGTACTCTCGGTACGTGTAGTTGTCTACGTAACACCCCCATCTCTCTTATTACATCACTACTAGTGTCACTACTGTAGTGTCACTACTGCAGTGTTATTACATCACTACTGCAGTGTCATTACTAGTGTCCACTGCTGCAGTGTTATTACTGTAGTGTTATTACATCATTACTGCAGTGTCACTATTACAGTATTACTTGCATAGTCTACATATCAAACGCTACTGCGTAATCTTTTGTTTACTCCCGCCGAAGTTGCACACGTTAGTACGGCGATTAGCACTGCCCAGTGTCTCATGTTAACAGGTATTCTGCCTCCGCAGGCGTTCTGCCTGCTCTGTAATGTCCTACCTGGGCCCGTTTTAAACTAGTATTATAATGATAAATCCGGAAACGTAAATTTAGTATTTAGTGTTTGAAGTGATGGATTGGTAGTAATACTTGGTATGTGTAATGTTATCTGTAATACTTGTGTAATGTTACCTGTAATACTTGTGCAATGTTTGATAGGGGTGGTTGCTAGTTCCGTTAATTCACGATGCTGTCAGCTTTAATTCTCCTCCCCAGCTGTAGTAGTACCCTGCTTCATAGTGCTCAGTAAGTGCCAGTTATGCCAGTATTGCTCAGTAGTGCTCATTCTCAGTATTGCCCAATTCCAGATTTTCGTAATTCTGCTCTTATTTATAAACTGGATATTGCGCTAGCTGGGGTAATGATATTGTAATTGCCTCGTTATTATTGGTATATTTGTAATATAACAGCTGTACCCGATCAAGTACTTAAGTTGTATATTTGTTAGTTTTTGGTTGTCTTTAAGTTCTTATTTGTTTATTGTTTTGTTTGTTTCTTTAGTTGTGGGTAAAAAGAGTGTAGTTTTATTGTGACACGGAGTACATCACGTGTATTTATATCACTAAACAGTGTGCACACACCTAGTAACTATAGCAACCTAGTACCTACACTTAACCCCGCCAACTCCCTCTTTGTTATAATTAGTAATTATAGTTGACATTGTGCTGGTCGCCATGTTACAGGGTTCCTGTAGGTTATAGGTCCATGTTCCTGTAGGTACCAGGTTGCTATGAGTTACGCTTGTACAGTGATTTTTGCAATAGTTACCCTGGTCCCAGGTAAGCAAGTTACCTGGTACCAGGTTGTTATAGTTACCCTGATATCTTACCTGCCACTAGCCAGCGCATCCTAATCTAAAACAGAGATACCCTGTAGGGCTAGATACCCTTATGTAGCAAGTCAGGAATCCTCAAAGGAATTAGTACAATCTCTACACTCGCCCTGAAAGTGACCCAGCTAAGAGTTCTCCTAATACATGTAGTGAGATCTATAGTAGCACATGTGTAGGGTACCTTCTTGGTCTATATCTTGACAAGTGCTAGGTTGCCATAGTTACCTTGACATCTGTGGGTTATTCTTCACTTTCAATGAAGTTCTAGAAGTTGTTAAACTCCTGTTAAAACCTGCAAAACCTCCTTCATTATTATTTATAAATAATATAGATATAATACATTGTAGGGGTTACAACGGGGCTACCCGCTACAACCCTCCGTATTATTATTATTATACTCCGCGTCCGCGTCCGTATTATATTCCGTCCGCGTCTGTGACCTGTAACTATAGCAACCTGATTCCTGTGTGTTACCGTATTCTATTGTAGTGTTCAGACTTGCAGCATCTAGTAACTAAAACAACTATAGATAGCATCTGCCAGTCTTCTTGTCTGGAAGCGACTGTCTATCTGTCTCACTACTAGTACGACTCTACAGCAGTGCTACTAATGTTACCATGGTAACTAGCACAACTCTACAGCAGTGCTACTAATGTTACCATGGTAACTAATGTTCTGTTATAGTTAGTACACGTTTCATTTTAGCTTTATTTCGTTTTCTTCAGAACTCTAAATGTTGTTAACTTGTTTCAGAGTCCCTGAAAACCCCCTCAATTCCCTCTAATACTGGGGGTTTTCGTAGTTTGTTTTGTTTAGAACGTTTTCATTTTTTGAAGTTCTTCGGACTGTTTTGACTCGATCTCACTGATTCCTAAACTCTCGCAGAATTGGACTGACAATTAAGCTTAACCAAATCTAATGTAATGACATGTTATGACTTTGATTAATTAGAATATTTATAAAGATTAATTTATTAATTGTGCTATAATTATCATAAAAATGTTAAAACCTAGTTCCACACAATATTAAACCCGCACTACTTGTTTGTTAGGCTTAAGGATTGCGTGGAAAATTCCGTTCAACAGCTATGTTCCTCTACCACGTGTTTGTAGTGTGGTACAGGTTCCAGTTTCCTATGATCAGTGACGAGGACAGGACATTCGCAGGTTAGTTTTAGTTAGTTTTAGTTAGTTTTAGTTAGTTTTAGTTAGTTTTAGTTAGTTTTAGTTAGTTTTAGTTAGTTATACAATAAAACTCCCATTATATTAACCGCTTTGATGTTGTTTGTATCCCAATTTACCGCGGCCATTTCCTTCCCACAAACTGTGCTTAACATGTATAATGAGATGTAATTAATGAGAACAATTAAAATCCCTATTTTCTATTTTCCCCGCGGTAACAAACTTTTGATTTCTGCCAAAAATTTGAGGTGCCCCCCACAATACCTGAGCTTATTTTAGAACCTATTTTTTACATCACCAGGTAAATTTACTTTATGTAACACTACGAAACTTAATATCTAATGCTAGTAAATTCTAAATGACGTGGTTCTTTCGCGTTAATTTTCACACTTATCTAATTCGGGGTATTTTGGTTGGGGAACGGGGCGTGGATTTAAATTGTAGCGGGGAGACTGGGGGTGTGACAAGGGGAGACTGCTGGTGTGACAAGGGGAGACTGCGCTTAGTTACCATGGTAACTAGCACAACTCCAACCTCATGCGTTGCGAGTCATTAGGACGGACGTTACCTGACGAGCTATTGATACACTCGCCAACAATTGCACAGTGCCAGTCACAAACAGCTCTGAGACCTGACAATATTGAGTGTGGAACTATTGTTAGTAGCCATGGTTACAATAGTGTTGTTCCAGTGTTGGCAACATTCCAACTCTTTAGTAGCAGCACTGAATACAGGATACAGACAGGGTAACCATGGTGAAAACAAGACACTCTGTAGCCACAGTAACACCAGGATAGTAACATCCCGACAGTTATTAAATCACACTTCACACATTGGACATTAGGAAAATACTGGGAACCAGGGAAACCTCCTAAATCAAGATAATTCTTTTTTAAATGAAATTCTAGGCAAGTTCTTGGCAATGGGTGCGGGCGAAAGTTTGCTTCACAGAAAATTCTAACCGAAATTTGACCACAACTAAAAATTCAGCAAGTTTAGCTTAAAGAACTGAATATAAGTAATCTGAACCAGTTGACTAACCAGCACCTATCCCTTAGGACGGTGGAAGTTTCTAACACATTGGAACGCCATGATCCAGATAGCTTACTACCTGGTGTGCGGTCTACTCGCCAACTCCAACCTCATGCAGAAGTGGGAACCAATCAGGGACCAGGCATTCTACATCATAATTCTACCCCTCTCAGTATTCGTTAGTCTCATGTTCTGGGGTCTCTACATCTACGATAGAGACATGGTCTTTCCAGCCCACCTCGACAAGGTGGTCACACCTTTCTTCAACCATCAGAAACACAGCGCAGTAGTTCTCTGGACCTTCCTAGAGGCTGCTGTAGTACATCACAATAAGCCCGGACACTTCGAGGGTCACTTCATAGCAGGACTATTCTGCGCCACGTATTTAGCGGTGGTGTTATGGGTCCACGCGGCCGGGGGAGTGTGGGCTTATCCTATATTAGGGGTGTTGAATTGGGCCGGTAAAGCCATGTTCTCAGGCATGAGTATAGTAGTGTACGTTGCTTTTTATAGAGTGGGTTTGGCTCTGAGTGGTTATCTTCAAAACATTTCTTCTGTTGTCTCCAAGTTGGACTGACAGAGTGAGTTGGACACTTTAATTTAAAACTTTGATATAATTAATAGAGATGTTTAATTGCGTTATTTCGAGATATTGATTAATTTGTTGCTTTGTGTTGCACTGTTTTATAGTGCCCCTCGCCTTATGAGTGGATGTGTTTTTTGAGAGGTTTGTTTTTTGTGCTCAGTTTTAGCTTGTAGATTCTAGATTCTAATAGTTCTAGATTCTAGATTCTAATAGTTCTAGATTCTAGTTCTAATAGTTCTAGATTTTAGAACCATTCCTGTTTGAATAATTCTTTTTAAACAGAATACATTGTTTTTCTCTAATACGGTACGAAACATTTTTACAATCTACAGTCAACTAGTGTCATAATTTAATACTGAACTGTAACAAAAAGCAAAGTGGAAATGTTACTATGGTAACGCAAAGTGGACCATAATGAATCAAACAAAATAAATTTAAATTCTAAGGGGACGGACAGGTTAAAAACAAGGACAGACCAACATAAACCTAGAAACCTAGAATCACTGACACTTTCTGCACTTACTACTACAGTACCTCTGTAACACACCACTACTACTACTACCACAGTCACCATCAACACTAAAACTTGCTGTAAACAAAACTTTCTCTACTGTCCCATAATTACACTAGCCAACTTTACAGTTCAGTTCCACGACCACAACTGTAAAGACTGGTAATTAAAGCTAGTGTCTAGGTGAAGCTTGCGAGAGAGTACTTTAACCGTCGAAGTGGAAGGCGTCGTTCTTCCTTCTTTCCTCCTCCTTCTCCCACGCGGCTAAAGCTTGTCGTTGCGAGATTGAGAGGTCTGCAGTCTGCATCACAACGTTACCTGAACAAAGTGAAAATGTTACTATGGTAACATGAACAAAGTGAAAATATTACTATGGTAGCATGAATAAAGTGGATATGTTTCTATGGTAGCATGAATAAAGTGGATATGTTACGTTCTTTGTAGTACAAATTGTACGCGTTAATGCGCAGAGCTAATTAAAGCTGAAAGGGCCGTCGGTGAATTTGAACCCCCTGGCCCTCCTATTTCCCGTACCGGCCCCCCATCGTCCCCCTTGTTTGACAACGTGATGTACGGATGGCCCCTGGTGTTAATGGTTATTATTTGCTCTTGGTTTGCCAGAAGTTGAGTGTCCTGACACTGCTAGTGATATTACACGCGCGTTGCCCATGTCAATTGTTAATGGACTGACCCGGGGCGCGCTACTTCGTAGCACTTGCCCTTACTGGGCCGCGCTCAGCCTGTCATTCCGCCAAATCTTTATGTTAATGAACATAATAGCCTGGGGTCCTCAGGTAACACTTGCCCCTGGTCGAATATTTTGGGCTCTTACAAATTCGCTCGACCAAAAATTATCACGTAACTTTGGTTTTAATCATTTATGGTTTTGTAGTTGTCCATTGTTAATAATAATGGACTAGCCCGGCGCGTGCTACTTCGTAGCACTTGCCTCGGTTGTACTTGTAGCGCTATGCACTACTGGGCCGGCAATCAAATTAGGGGGTGCACGATAAAAATAAACTTGCTCGGATTTTTAAAATTTGTGTACCACTGTTTTCTAGAGACTGTGAGAATTTTCACAATACCAAATTTGTCATACCTTTTTGGAAAGATCAGTGAGTTTCGCCTAGGTGCCATATTTGATGGTGCGCGGCTTTTGGAGCAAAAGTAGCTGTAAAAGTCGCGTAATTTGACCAAATTTGTCCAAATTTGACCATTTTTGTCGTATTATTCGGATATATCTCCAGTGCCTTAAATGAGATCATTCTGGAAATTGGCGACGACCTTCCAATAGGGCTTTCACAACTGTCCGAAAAATTTGGTGGATATCGGAGTTGATATAGTGATCAAAATGGGGCAAAATACGCTGCTTTTAGCTGTAACATAATGTCTGAATCTGATGGTTGGATATGCTTTAAATTTTTCGGACACTTTCCTTGTAAGTCTATGAGTAAGCTTACCAATTTTTGTTGCAATTGGAGGTCGGGAAGAATACTCAATATCTATTTGTTTGAAGAAAATTGTGCTGGCCGAAATTAGCGCTAAAAAACCATCCTACAGTCGGCACGCGCGGCTCACTGTCGATGGCGCACTACCTAATCAAATAATTCTTCTCGCAACCACTTCGGTAGATCGGCGATATGCACCACTGGGCCTCACCGAGCTGAGAACGATTGACATTGTGAATCAATTGCCTCGGGCGGAGAGAAGAAAGCGGCGCGCGCTACTTTAAATAAATTTAGACGAGTAACATCTTACTGGGCGGCGCTCAGCCTGTCATTCCGCCGAACCTCTATTGATTATGAACATAAATATAATAGCCTGGGGTTCCCAGGTAAATAATAACGTTCGTTTTTTGGGAAACCCCACGAAGAAGGCTGGTTAAGTGCTTCACCTAGCCATGAGTCTAGTTCTACGCGTACTGCGTGACGGCGGTCGCGCGCAACTGCAAGCGAGAGGGCTCTGGATAGAGCAAGTTAAGTGCTAAAGACCGACGCGAAATAGAAAATAACACAATAAACTATTCAATAACTTCTATTCGGAATGCTTAATGAATAAATTAAAAATAGAATAAGCATATTAGTTAACATTCCGCTTACAAAGTTCGGGAGTCTGGAAACGTTATTTAATTTTATTGATAACATTCCTACTTCACAAAATCAATTAAAAAATTTCGAAGACTTTCAGTCTTACATGGAAAATAAGATGCAATTATATTGTCCCACATTGCGACCTCAACTATTTTACAAATAGACGGGGCTTCGTTCATGTAGCGTGATGCACTACTGGGTCGCGCATCAAATAATTCTTCTCGCAACCACTTCGGTAGATCGGCGAGATGCACCACTGGGCCTCACCGAGCTGCGAAAGATTGACATCGAGGATCAGGGGGCTTCGCAGTTCGCAGCCCATAAGGGAATCAGAAATTTTCCTACTTACAATAAATTATTCGTATTTCACCTAACCATGTGCTTTCGCGCCACTGCGGGCGCGCTACTGCAAGCGTAAGGGCTCTGGATAGAGCAATATTCATGTATCAATAAAAAGGACATACAAATTTGACAGTTGACAACAAATTTAGGCAAAAGATGTACATTACAAGGCGGCATTGTCCATGGTTAATGGACTGACCCGACGCGCTTTACTTCGAAGCACTTGCCTCGAAAAGAAAGCGGCGCGCTACTTCGAAGCACTTGCCTCGAAAAGAAAGCGGCGCGCTACTTCGAAGAAATTTAGACGAGTAACATCCGTCAAGCACATCGACAATCAATATCTGATAAGGGGCCATCTACTTATAATATATATTAGGACGTCCGGCAAAAACTCAAATAGGGAGGGGGTGATTTCTGAAAATCTGGACGTCCAGAAATTTTGGTAGAATTAACGAAAAAGTCCCATTTATTTCAACTCTTTGACACTAATTACTCTGTAAGTTTAGATCCCTGTATTTTGAAGAAAGCAGCTCATGAGAGCCGAGACACAACTCGCATATTCTCCTACTGCCTTAAAACTTATTCGATTGGATGGCTACTTAAATTAAGTACTTAAATGTAACTGTGCTAAACTTGTTCGACACTAAATGTATTATTGTTCATTTTATTAACAATGAATTTGAGTTGGTTTGATTTGTACTCTTAAAAGTAGCTGGAAACCCGGACATCCGGGGGTGGTTTTGAAAGTTCGGACACACCCGGACGGGGGGAGGGGTCTGAAAATCTGCGATTTTGGCGGCCGTCTTAAATAGCTAAGCGTGTAGCTAGTAAGCTGTAAGAGCTGGTAATATCTCTGAGTCTCAGAAATGTCGCTAATTGAGACTCATGGTCTGTTTTTTACGATTTCACTACAGCACTCCGAGTGTTCATGCAATTGCCATAGCTGAGAAAATGTCATACAGTATCACCTTTAAAACAACACTCCATTCCGTCTCTCTTTCTATCACTCCCCCTCTCTCCCTCTCTCCCCCGCTCGCCCTTATTCATTTAAAAAACCAAACCTTATATTAACTCTATACTCAACTTCATATGCGTGTGTCGTATCTATCATTAGTGGCTACTATTTTCATGAACTTAGTGAGACCCTAATCATCTGGTATCTAGTCCCCGTATTATAAAGTATTACCTTGTGAATAAAAATTAAATTCCCCCCCCCCCCCCCAAAGTTGTGCAAGAAAAAGGATTTTTTTCGATGATTATTTCGGACCAGAACAACAGTATGAGTGCTGTTTCATTGACCATGCTACAAGAAAGGTTTTTTCGCGGCCTGATTTTCCAATTTTCGTCAGGGTTTCATCAACTATGTGCAGATAAAACCGACTATTATATATATAAAACTACCACTCACCACTTCAAATACCTAGTGAATATTACAGGTAATAATAACAATAATCTAAACCACGCACTCACGTCTAGAATCTCCAAGCTTCTCCCTCTCGTCGGCGGCTATCTTTTCTACTTCCATAGGGCAGTTGCTGTGGTCTACAGGGTTAGTACTGAATGTGCTCTATTCCTGGGTTGCGGGGTGTCGCTGGCAAGATGGCGCGCTGTAGTTTCCCCAATTGCGCGCTGTCGTTGCTGTGGCGACGGTCTCGTGTTGCTTGGAGACGTGCTGTGGCTGTGGCTGTCGCACGTGCACGTGGAACAGTTGCCACGGTGATTGGTAGGCTGTGAAGACCTTACATTATACATAGTGCCTGATGCAATTAAATTGGCAAATATTAGGTCTGAGGGATCATTTAAACACATATTAGGGATACGAAAATTTGTTTTTAGCAGGAGCTTTCAAAGTACATGTGTAAATCGTCCTTTCAGTATATAAGGAGTTGGGGGTCTAGGCCCCCCCCCCCGCCCCCAAAGTATTTTAGAAACCCTATTCTTGACTGTGTTCTTATTATGTACTTACAGGTAAAACAACTCTATTTTCTGTTTCAGTGGGGTGATTGAGGAAGAAGCACGTGGCGTTATAGGGTCGAATGAGAGAGCCCGCACTGCTGAGTGAGGATTGTAGCCTAGTTTACTGGGGGGCGTATTTACTTCTGGAGATTTGGTGGGTTCGGCCAGAAATCGTCCTGCATATATTTTCCTCCGCCGCCTTTTGATGGAGACCGGGCGGGGTTTGGCCAACAAGGCTTCCCCTTAGATTAGAGGGCGGGAGAGAACTCAGACTCGGAAAAGCGTCCCGGACTCAAACATCCCATGGTACACAACCTCACAGTCCTGTCTCGGACTCGTCTATAAGGTGGTCTGACCGTAACGAGACTTGCGTAATACGAGGTAGTTTATATCTGATCACTCTCCTGTGTTCCGTCTCCCTCCTACCATCTACGCTGTGATTCAAACACTTTCCTGTCGTCTCACTAGTCTATCAATCTGGCCTATCGTAGGACGAGGTCTGGGTGTGACTATCTGTACTCA